TCTTTCCCTCGTGTTTTGGGGAAGAGGGCCGTGCTGACCCAGTGGGATGGTTGCAAATCCCCAGGCTTGTGCAGCCACCTTGGGAGCTGTCAGGCCTCTGTCAGATCCCTTTGCCCACGAAGAAACTATCAGCTAAACAGGCATCATTGGGAAGAAGAGGCCGCCAGCTCCTGCATCAGCCACATGGTCCCCTCCTCCAGGACCCAGAAAAATCAAATGGGAAAAATCGCAGCCCAAGATGGTCTGGCCCAGTCCCAGTGGCACGGGGTAGCACAATGCTCTGCAGTGCTGGAAGCCATACAGGAGGTCAGAGTTTGGTTCCCAGGTCGACCCGTACATGCCATGTGTGCACATGTGCCCAGGATCCTAGCTACCTGGAAGGCTGGGTGGGGCAGGTGGCAGTGTGAGACCCTGTTGAAAGTGCTTCTCTCTCAATAAATGGATAAATTTTAAAACATATGTATGAGGGCCAGCAGGCGGCATGATATTTAAAGCATTGGAGCCATGGTTGGTCATGGTTCAAGTCCTGGACTTAGCAGCTTGAGACTCACGCTAGACACATGTGCAGAATCTCAAGAGGAGAGTGGAGAAGAGGGGACTAGGGTGTGGCCCTCCCCCCGGGAGGTGATTTCTTGCTTTCTGTCTCTCTGCCTGTTTCTGGCAAACACACATCCTATAGCAAAAATCTCTCTCAAAAAAAATATAAATACATATATGTAACACATTCTTGCTTTAGTCCCTTGCCTCAAAACCCCAGATATAAGAAAGATGAATATGTCAGTTTGGTTTACAAGGTTGAGAATATGATATTTTTAAACCATTACTCAGTAAAACTGCAGTGTCTAAAAGTTTATGTCCCCTACGGCCTTGCACTTTTAGTCTAAGGGAGGCCCCCATGCTGCACTTCCAGAAGACAGACCTGGGTAGAGCAGCACGGGACCCTCGCACGTCGAATGTGCAAGCGCTTTGGAAGCCTCAAGGGAAAATTCCCTGACCTGCCAGGCAAGCCCGGAACTGAGCTCCCGTTCTTCCTCACTGCTTCACATCACACCGACAGGTGCACGGGGAGTCGGACAGGAAGAAAATCAGACCCCCAACTTGAGAATTTAGCTTGCATAGGAAGCTCGTTAAGGAGCCAACCAAGAAAAAAAAAAAAAAAAAAAACAGGCAATAATCACACATGTATTCATGCATTTCCAAGAGCCACCCTCGGGCTTGTGCAGAGGACCCGAGCACGCAGCTGGCTCTGCAGCGGAGCAGACTGGCTAGAGACAGTTCTTCACGTCACCTAACACTTTCATGCTCAGAAACTGCACACGAATGATATTTGACTTTTCTTCAAAGCCATTCAGCCTGAAAGATTTCCAAGCATGTCACACGTCACATTTAGCTACTTGGGCTCTGAAGGGCTTTCAGCCAACTGGCTCACGCTCATTGCCTAGAGAAGCAGAGGAAGAGAAGTGCTTAGCCGGTCAGCAAGCACGTGGGTAAGCTCCTGAAATCAAGTGTACTGTGCTAGCTCTGGACGAACCACAGCCGCCTCCTCACCTGAGATACCAGGGTGGCGTGATCTCCCGACCACGGACGTCCTTAATCTTCACAACATACTGGTTCCACTGTCAAGCAAATCCCCATTCCACACGTCAGGGTTCAGCTCGTCCCTTCAGACCGAGCTCAGGTCCCCTCTCTTGCTCCTGGCCGCGCTCTGTCTGCCCATCTTCTGCGCATACGCGGAGTGCTGCCCTGGGGTCACCTGTGAGCCTCTCACCCTGTTACTAGAGTTCAGGGACCAGGAATGTGGAAGGGGCTCGGTTTGCGTTTCCCTTAAGAATGCCTTGCTCATAAAAGGAGTCCAAGTATTTGTTGATTTCGGTAGATTCCATAAACAACCAAATCAGCTCTGCTGCCATCTGTAAGATTCCAACCCAAAATACCCCCACGAGAGCACACGCATTTCTCCAGGACTTTATTTAAGTTTCGGACAACCTTTGGATCATGCGTGTACCCTAGTTGGTTTTATTTTCTTTTCTCATCAGCAATAACCACGAGATCTTTTTTTTTTTTTCAAGAATTATTTCTTTATTTAGTAATTTTTAAAATTGGACCAGAGAGAGACAGAGAGAAAGGGAAAGTGAGAAAGCAAGCCACCAGGTCTGGGACTCTACCCGTGATCGGCCACATGGGAACCCAGCGCCTTTAACCATCACGCCACCTACTGGCGCCAAGATCATAAACAGTACAGTCAGACACATAATTAAAGTCTCATTCCTTCCTTATTTCCCCATGGACACTGACGGCCTTAACACTCCAGGGGTGTTTGTAATCTCAGAACTTGGAGCTGCATCTGCCTCACGGATTCCTGGACTTCGTGCTCTCACTTCTGCCTGAAATCTTTTCTGGAACAAATGGAGTGTAAAGAATTATTTAATACAAGAAAGCCTTTACTTGGGCTTTTTTTCTATCATTCAAGAAAAAACCTTTAGGACCAGCAGATGGTTAATGGTTACATCACTAGACTCCCATGTGGTTCGAGTCCCAGACCTCCGTGGCTTAAAACTCACACCAGGCACGTGTGTGTGCGTTCCCAAAGTCCCGAGAGGAGACTGGAGGACAAGGGATTGCGGCGTGGCCATCTCCCCGGGGAGTGATTTCTCACTGTCTATCTCTCTGTCTCTCCGGCAAGCGTATGTATCCTATAGCAAAAATCCCTCAAAAAAAAACGAAAGAGAGGGCGTGGTGGTGCCCGCCCTATGGCAAAAAAAAAAAAAAGAAAGAGAGAGAGAAAGAAAAAGAAAAGAAGGAAGGAAAAGAAAAGAAACATTTAATGACTTAATAAATGGCAGGCTGGGTGTTGATGTGACAGTTGCCTATGAATTATGACGATACGATTATGACAGCTTTGCTTGATCTTGACCTTTCTGACCTTGTGGTTGAGTGTGCATCTATCAGAAAACTTCTTAGGTATGTTTGTCTTAAAAAACTAAATACAGGCAAACTGAAATCAAGGAAGACTGTTTCATAAATTATATTAAGCTTTCTAAAATATTTTGATCATGCATACACAGCTTGTGTTTACGTGACAGTAAACAAAGCTTCCATCGGGAAAGAAGCTAGCTGGGACATATGCTGTGGGCCAGTGTTCCGACCAAAACCCTGAACTTATCCCTTTTCATCTGTTTTTCCCCGTTTGAAGAGAGAGGTCGATGGGTCACCTTGGCTGTGGGAGGCTTTGGCTGGCCAGTGGTGGGAGCCCCACCCCACCTACCTGGTAGCCTCCCCCACCCGCTTTCGCCTCCCACAACAGATATGCTCAGTTTGATTTTTTAAAAAAAAAGCCACTCAGGACAGGAGCAGTGATGAGATCCTTTTGAAAACTGAAAAGTTCTGAAATACCAGTATTTCTCCCTAGTTATAGTGACTTCTATAATTATAATCAGTTACTGGTCTGCTTATATCTGCCAGTGTCTTCATAAAAACAACTGGGTCGGGTGATGTTCAAAGCCACACTTTACTTTTTTTTTCTTTAATTGAACAAATATTCTTTGAGCACCTACTAGGTGCCAGCTCTTGGCGTTCACGGGAGAGTTCCAAAGAGCAATTAGAGTTCATGTCTAGTAATGGAGCTCAAATTAGTGGAATTCAAATGTCTTTTCAAAGAGCAGAGCTCTGAATCTATAATAAATAATAATCTTTTTTTTTTTTGAGAGGTTTTCGCTATAGGGCGCGTGCGCACGCCAGACAGACAGAGAGAGACATAGAGACAGAAAGCGAGAAATCACCCCCCAGGGGGGATGACCACGCCCCAATCCCTTCTCCTCCATTCTCCTCTCGGGATCTTGGGCACGCATGCACACGCACCCGGCGTGAGTTCTAAGCCACCGGGTCCGGGACGCGAACTGCGGTCAACTACATGGGAATCCAGTGACATAGCCATTATGCTAACTGCTGGTTCCCAATAAATAATAATCTTGAAGCCCACACACTAGACTTTTGAAAACCTGACCCAAGAACCCTAACCATGTATAACTGATGTCAAAGCTGACTTACCTGAAGGTCTGAACAAGTCTCACCCTCCATGCCTACCCTTTGATTTGTATTTTTTTTTTTTTTTTTACTAGAGAAATTTAGCCTTGAAATGAAATCATCCGGTCAATTTACAGACAAAAGGAAGCAAGCATTTGTGGGAATCCTTAATTGTTGAAAAGCTACTTTTGATTTTAAAATAGCATTTTGCAGCCCTGGCAAAAACAAAACAAAGCCCGTCTTCGTCCCCTCCCCACCCCCAAAAACCCCTGCCATTAGTCACGAGATATGTTTCCATTATGCTTTTTGTTATGCGTGTGCATGTTTTCAGTTCTACCTAAGTAAGAAAAAAAATCGTGATCCATTTAGGTTTGATCCTGAAAATGCTCCGCCGAGGTTCTGGTGCAGTTTCAACCCTGGCCATAATCTGTAAAATCCAGGGGGAGCAGGATGTGCTTTTACTGAGCTTCAATCTGAAGAACTGTTTTAGCAGGAATTTTATATGCAAGACTAAATGCTGATCAATAGAGCATAATATTATATTCTGAAGTATGCTAGCGAAAGCAAAATTCATTTTTTTCCTTCTCTTTTCCCTTCTCCTGGAATCTGCCATAGCGACTACATTTGCCTCCAGACTTGTCAGACACAGTGAACCG